ATTTGAATTCATATTTTCGAAAATAAATTAGCAAAGTATAAATTGTCCAATATTAAGTAAAAAAAAAAAAAATGCTATATGTTGATACCCAGAACATAACATTATATTCTTAATAAATCAAAATAAACATAATTACTTTAATCAAACAGATTGGATATTCATCTCCTAATAACGCAAAATAAATCACGAAGAACTAAAATAAGAGACGGGAAGCTTCAAAAGTATCATAATATTATTAAAAAAAGAAGAATACCTAATTGGAAATGCTTTCCAATTGTCCCATAAACACACATTAGAAAGTATGTTGCCGTTAATTCAAAGATGGCTAGATTGACCGGTTAACTTCCGCGTTGTAAAGTTCCAAGTATATTGGTCATCTTTCTCCGTCTCTCTTAAGCAGTCTTTCGAGTCCAGTCAAAATAACTGAATACTTTTGAGAGCTGCACCTTCCATGGGCAAAACTTTAATTTTAAAATATTTTCCGAGAACCAGTGTCTCGTTAATGCATATTACAACTCAAACCGCCCTTTTAAGCTCTCTCTCCCCATTTGCCTCTTTTTTTCACAAACCTTCCCTATAGAGATAAAAAGTCATAGCTAAAACGAGTTCTTGAATTCCTTTCCTGTACATAAAACAACGAAAATCAAGAATCAATAATCAAGAACAAGAAAGGCCAAGAACCCCCAAAGAACAGAGGAAAGGAAAAAAAGAAGAAAATGGGTTTTAGCAAAATGAGGAGAAGTCAATTATCACAGTATTGAGAGTTTTTTTTAAAGACTCTGTTTTTCTTTACTACTAGTTGATTTCCTTTCTCTTTCTCTGCTCCTGTTCTCTTGTTATTGCTGATGACCACTTCTCCTTTTTCTATCATTCTTTCTGCTCTCTCTTTCAACCTTCTTGGCTTTATCATATCATAAACCCTTTCTTCGCCATTTTAACAATTTGATTTAAGGAATATTCTATCATTGAATATCTCCCTTACATCCATCATAAGATCAGCTGTGATATCTGTAAAGTGTCCCTTAATGCCCAAATAAGTCAATTTTTTTTTTTTATTTCCTTCGATTTTGTTAAGATTAATTGCTGATATATTGTTCTTCCTTTTTTAAATTTTTAGGTGTTTATAGCTTTTGTGGAATGTGGACCAAGGCTTTCAAGAGACCATATTTGGGATTACAAACTATGTGCTCTGTTTTATCACTAATTTATGTTCACTGAAGGCACAATATTTGTTCAGTGTTGTCAAGTTCTGAAAAAGGAGAAATATGTTAGAGCTTATGGAGATTTCCTCTTTTTGTTTGCTCTCTACTTCTAGCAATTGGTCTAATTAGTTGTGGCATATAGAACGAGTTGGCACGAGAAAGAAGAAAGCTCTGGTTTACAAGATTGACATTGAAGCTGATAGAGTTAATTTAATTTGCTTTTCTTCTCTTATTTTCTCTTTCAAGATGTCTGAAATTGGAAAGTTATCCAATTAGGGCCTTAAACCAAGCCGCTTGACTTTAAGGAATAACAACAACAAAAAAATTATTAATATGCTCAACAAAATGGGAAAGGAAAACTAAGGAAACTTTTATCACATTTTCTTGGCCTAGGAATTTCATTAGTCCATTACATCAAAACCCAACTGTACAACAGTTATGAAACTTTTTATATTTTCTAGAATTTCAATACAGTTATTTGGATTGGTCTTCTTTCCTTTAATTTTTTGGGTTTCTAGAAAAAGGGCAAGAAAAAGAAAGCTATTTCGGTAAAATATAGTAACTGTAAGTTTAAAATTCTAACAAGAATACAAGTTTAGCTACCTATCAGAAATCCTCCACCAAACCCAATGTGCATTTTGTTTTCTCTGCAATGCCAAATTGGTCCTGACACCTCAAAACTAACATTAAAATAGAAAATAAAAAATTACGAAACATTTCAGTATCTCTGAAATTTTATTAGACTGTTTGCTGGCATGTGATCGTTGTACAAATAATTAATCTCTTAGTTTTTTGATTTGTTTATTTCTGTTTTTGGAGCCCATGTTCCTTCCACCTGAACCCTTGAAGCCCCATGCCCAACCTCCATGGTCAACCAGTATTTTTCTTGATATATCTAATTCATTCAAAAATCTTCTTTGATTTTCTCTTCAAAAAAAAAAATCTTCTTTGATGGGTAGCCGCCCATTGTCGAGGGCTATTTGCCATATATTTGGACTTTTAAATATATATAATATAGGATATTTTCGATAGTGCCCAACATTTGGTCCTATAAAACCAATACATTTTATGCATTTGTTCTTTTTGTTTTTGTTCCAAGAAATCCTAAGTTCTTCATTCTTTTTCATAATCTCTAAATTCCTTTTTTATTCCTTCCCATCAGTAAAATTTCTTGAGAGTTTTTAACTTTGCTTTCTTTTTGAATTATAATTAATCATGGGTTAGGCTATGTGGTGCAGGGTTTCTGCTCTGGAGAGAATGGAATTTCCTGTTACCAAGAAAAATCCCAAAAGAAAGAGAGGTTGAAGTGATTTTAGCACTAACAATCAATGAGGGAACTAAACAAACAGGTAGACGACAGATTTTTATTTTCTTCTCCTTTGCCTAATTCAAATTCTTCATTGTCCAGCTTGTGCAGGTAAATTTTTTTTCTTTTGATTTCCTTTCTGGTGTTCAGTGCTGTTGTTTTTGTCTGTTTGAAAACTGACACTAGAATACGAAAATCTTACTTGGTTTTGTCTTGTTTGTTTTTTGGCTGGATACATGGTTTTTCCAAAGGCAACCTGCAAATTTGAGATTACTTAAGAAGCAAAAGTTAGAATAGAGACTTAACAATTAAAGCAAATCAATAATGCTATAAGTCAATTATAGAGGTTTGGCTTGAGGAATAATATATCTACGATTCTTTTTCCCTGGGAAAAAAAAAGAATAGTCTGTACAGTTATTTTGTGTTTCTTTATTGAAATTATTGAAAAAGGGATTAAGATAATTGCCCTAGATGACCCTTGGTTATAAAACCTAATTCTTTAATGGATACTTAAAGCTTTTGTAAGTGCAGCTTGTGAGAATTGTATTATAGTGAGGCTTGTAGTCTCACTCTTCCTCTCTCCTCTCTTCCTCTCTCTTCTCTTCCTCTGCCTTCGCATTTTTTTTTCTTTTTTTTTTTTCTTTGGGAGACCGATTGACCTGTAAATAACATTGAGAGATTACATAAACAGGTAATCCTTTTCTGAACCATGTAAAATTGGTGAAAACACTCCTTTTGTCCCTTTCTGTTATTCGAAAACCGGCGAAAAAAAGAAAAGATTATATTCAAAGTATTATTTCCCATGCATCAAGCAAGCCATGCTTCTAGCTGTTCTTTGCTTTGGAGAAATACAAATTGGTCAGAAATCAAATTTCATTTTTTTTTTTTTTTTTTTTTCTTTGGGAGGACCGATGACCTGAAATAACATTAGAGATTACATAACAGGTAATCCTTTTCTGAACATGTAAAATTGGTGAAAACACTCCTTTGTCTTTCTTTATTGAAACCGGGGAAAAAAAGAAAGATTATATGCAAAGTATTATTTCCCATGCCATTCAAGCAAGCATGCTTCTACTTCTTTGCTTGGAGAAATACAAATTGGTCAGAATCAAATTTAGATGCATTGTTATAGTTTTAAACAATTTTAAAAATAAAAATAGAGCAATAGTCCTGTACTCATGTGTCATGATGCCATAAACCAATCAAGGGAGAGAAATAGTTCTTTACCTACTATTAACAAAATCAACATATACTAAATACATAAAATTTACCCTTGTGCGTTTGGCAAAAAATTTTATGTAGCTCTAAATTTTGTGGGAGTTTATTGTGCACCCAGCGGTTATAAATTTTAGTAATATTATATACTTCTCCATGCAAGCAACAATATTTTAAAATTTTTATATATAAAATATTGATTTGATTTGTGATTCATGTGACTTTTAAAGCAATAATTTTTTCATTTTTCAACTATCTAATAAGTGTTACAAGTTAGAACATTCATTTTTATAAGTTGAAGTGGTTAATAAGTGCAATGCTATAAATTTAAATACATAATAGATCAAAGTATATAATAAGGCTATTTGGGCCAAATACATAATTTAACCCCTGAAGTTTAATAAAAAAATTTTTTGTGGCACCCTTAATTTTAAAATCGACCTTGTGGCCCCTTGAACCTCTTTTTTTGTAATAATTTCACACATTGTCATGTTAGAAACAATAAATTTTGCAGGTTTTTGATATGCAAAATATTGATTCAGTATGTGGTTAGTACAAGTTTTGAAATAATAATTTTCACATGTTTCAATGATCCAATAAGTGTATAGTCAATAAAATTTTATAAGTTGAGATGTTCAATCGGGTCAATTAAAATATTTAATAAACACAATTTTATAAGTTAAAATATTCAATAGGTCAAAGTGAAAATTAAGGGTGATACAAGATTTTTCGTGAAAAATACACGGACAATTTATGTATTGAATCTATGTATTTGACCTATCAAGATATCTACCACCTAGACCCTATTTGGTGATAACGTTTAAGGTAAAGTTTATCTATATTATTTGATAATGTAATATTTATAGTAATTTTTAGAGTTTGAGGAATATTTCATAAAATATTACTCTGATAACAAGTCTAACATCGCAACTTATCGAAGCATGGTTATTATGTAATTTGTGATATTTGTTTTATAATATAGAAAATGTAGAGAGTGAGAGGTTTTGAGTTCGAGTTATTTTCATTATAAAAGTTATCATCAATTTGGATATTTGATGAATAATATTCAAAAGTATTACTCCCGCTTATATTTACATGTTCTCTTAATCCATTACATCTCTTATAAATAATCACATGTTCTCCCATTATATTGGGTTGGGCATCCCATAAATAAGGCGATGCAGCTATAAATCTAATAGCAAGTACGATGTCGTTTGGATACACGAACTTGCTGGCTAATCTATTATAGTATACTAGAACGACATCGTCTCAACTCTCAAGTTTCATCTTCACGAAATAAGACGCAGTGGGCTAATTCCTCCCGCTCCGCGTTCTCATTTCCGCAGTCGCAGGAGACATAAAAATTCAGTGAATAAAAAGCAAAACAGTGCAATAAAATGAGATACAACTTCGAGTTGACTGATTCAAATCCTGACTCTTCTCGGCGATCCCTCACTCCTAAAGAAGATGTCCAGTGGGTCCCACTCAAGTCCCACCCGGTTTTTACCTCCTCCTCCTCTTCCGCCGTAGCCGACGGAGACGCTCCGAGGAACCTGTTGGCATGGGACGGGACTTCACGGTTGTATTATTGGGATTCGAACAAGCGCTGCCTCCATCGCATTTCTGTTCGGCTTGGCGAGCCAGAACCTACGTCAGTCCTCGCCGCTACTCCTTCTAAGGTAATTTCTCTCTTTTTTTGGTTCCTGAGAAAGTGCAGGAAAGTGAAAGAAAGTAAGGTATATAAACGATAATTTTTAACATAGCTGTCTCTGCTTAATTTAGCTTGTGCAATTTTTTAAAATAATATTTTTCCTTTGGAAGTTTTTCTTTGAAAAATGCTTGTGAATATTTTATGTTCTGAGCTTCTGGTTGAATAGTTAGATTAATCGCGTTATTCCTTTTTTCATTCTTGAAGCGTACAGTTAATGATTCATATGTTTTATTAGGTATTGCAAGCAGATGTACGGATTGACTTTGTTGTTAATAAAATCTCAATCAATGGAGATGGCTCTGCGTTGCTTCTGGCTGGTTCAGATGGTCTATGTGTTATGTACCTCTACGGAAGAAATTCTACTAAGAATAACACCATTGTTTGCAGGTATTGGTGGAAATTGATTATATGCTTTCCATTTCTGTTGAAAGAAACTTAGGTGTGTTTATGAATTCTATAAAGTGAAAAATGACTGATTATGGTCAGAAAAATTGATTTGAGACATATTAACGCACAATTTTCCTTCTGATATTTAATTTTTTTTGTTTAATTATTTTGATATGATTCGTTATTTTTGAATTTCTTTGATTAATAATTTATTATTCAGACTTGATCTTCCTTTCATTAGCAAGTCTAAGGGTTATATGAAGTAATGCCACATTGATATACATGTCCAGAATATATCATGAATGAATAAACATGTATGAAATTTGTGCAAAGTGTGCTGCTCTGAACTTCCATTTGTTGTTTGTCTCTTGAGCAGGACTGTTTCAATCGGTTCCCAAATCTATTTCAATGAAAACAATGTGATACGCACACTACAAGTTTCATGGCACCCTTACAGCAATACACATTTAGGAGTCCTTTCTTCTGACTCAGTTTTCAGGTATCATCACTTTCATTTTATATGGAGCCAAATTCTTGGGTCGTTTTAATTGGTAGCATGCAGAGAAGAAAGAGTTATTAGTGGATGTTGGCTAATTTCTGATACATATTCTTAGATTAAAATAATTGGACTTCTTTTGCTATTAATCACCTGAACATCTTAAAGTCTTCATGAAATATGCAATTCAAAAGGGTTAGTATATCATTTTGACTTTTTCCAATTTTCCTTGCTAGATTATTTGATCTGTCTTTGGATCTCCTGCAACCAGAGCAAGAGTATTATCTACAGCCAGTTGAACCAGGTAGTTCCAGAAATGCTGCAGCAATATGCCCTGTAGACTTTTCGTTTGGAGGAGACCACATGTGGGACAGATTTAGTGTAAGTATACATCTATAATGCCACATGATGTTTAGCATGTTATTTTTAATTTGTGGTGAACACATATATTTATGCGTGCAATGTATTTCTGAAACTCCCTCGTGAAAAGTTTTGGTGTTTAGTTCATGTGTTTAGCTGTAATATGCTTGTATATATTATGGTGCAAATTTTTCTTTTGAAAAAAATTTCCTTTGTACTTCAAAGATGCTTTCGGTTCTGAGGGATTATAAGACCACTGGACCAGTCTTAATGCTGGTGCTATTAGATATGTTGTGATTTTAATACCAAGTTCTTGCCTAATGAAGTTTTCAGGAGCCTCAAAATTTTTCATTGTGTTGCATGCTCGTTGTGTTTATTTGAAGACCAGTGTTTCCACATGCAGCAGCTTCATCATTGTTTTGTTCATTCAAAATTAATTTACTTTTGGCCATTCTGCAGGTTTTTGTATTATTCAGCGATGGTTCGACTTACATCCTTTGCCCTATTGTTCCATTTGGAAGGTGCTTTCACCTTATATCTTCTTTGAATATGTGCAAGATCTTGTTGCTTATAGGTTTTTTTCCTTGAGAAAATGATAGTTGGCACTGAATTTTCTTGTGCTCTTTAACTTTTTTGAAAATCATGTGCTTCTACAGTTGGACCATGAAAAAGGTCCATGTGTAACTTCATGTATCAGCTTATGATTCATATAGATGCTTACTTATTAGTGCCGACAATGTTTGTTTATTTTTATTTTTTTCTCAGATTTACTTAGCTATTCCTCTCTTTTATGTTCCATTTGTTTAAAAAAATTGTAATACAAGAGTACATATTAAATGGCCTCTTCATATACAGGACAATATTATATGTGATGCTGACCAAAATTGAGTGTGTTTTTTATAACAGTATCCACAAATGGGAATCAGTGTTGGAAATATATAGTGATGCTCACACGTTTGGGTTGAAATCAGCAAATCAGACAGCTATTAGTAATTCTAGTCTTGCAATCTCTTGGCTGGAAGCAACATTTCCTGAGTTAAATGATGAAGCAATTGAAGAGGAAAATACATCAGTATTAAAAGCTCGTCCCTATGCTTTATTTGATGCTTCTCTTTGCTTACAGGTATATTTATTCATTATTTACTATACTATGCACTTGCTTTGTTATATGAACATTTCAGAATTGTCAAACCTGTTTTGACGGGTGGGTAGAGCATATGTGTTAAAACATGCTTCTCTTGGAAACATGCCAACAGGCACGTTTAAGAAAAAGAGGAAAACTTCTTTTATGATAGATGTTCAATTGATGAATGCAAGCATTAGAATGGTTTCTGGGGGGATGATACATTTCATTAATGTTAGCAATATATCTATGGCAAGAGATGAGCAAGTTTGTTTGGGAATGACTGGAAGTTGAATGGGCATGATATTTGGGTTATTATTATGTTAGTTTGATCAGATAGGTTTGACACACAGATGGATGAATGAAATACTATTGTTAAATGCTTCGTGAGCTTATTGGCATTTTATTTCTATTAAACCAGGAATGCTTTAGAATACCATTTTCCCTTGCAATCATGTTTATCTTTTGAAATTCATAAATTTCATTTTTGAAAATGTTTAGCAAGAACTTTTTCATGCCCAGTTCATATACATCCAATTTTCCTTTTGTTCTTTTTCCCCCTTTCTTTTTTACTTCTTTCCTTTGGTTTCAATGAGCTTGAGAGTAAATTAACTGGAATACAGTGCCGCAGTCAGTTTTAGGAGCTAATTCATATAATTGCATTGTTCTTGTAAGTGAACAAGCATCTCATCAAGGTGGTTTCATAAGTGCCAGAGGATGGCCTTCCACATTTCTCAATGTCCACTCCTATGATTCTCCTTAGCAGTTTTGGTTAGATAATAGCAATGTTTTGCACTAGTCTAGAAGCCACAATTTGTGTCCCATGCATTTTGCAATGTTAAATTTGTTGTCTTCAAGAAACTAACAGACCTTTTTTTTTTTTTAATCCAGGGGCCACTTCGGAAAGTGCATCATGATGGGGAAGATGATAATTCAGCTGTTCGGGTTGCAGAATGTGAAGGTCGTGCAGTCAGTTTTCTCTATAATATAGTCAGCAAAGATTCAATTTTGGTGACTGCATGGAGTGGGGGACAATTGCAAATAGATGCCCTAGCTGATGAAATCCAGCCGGTCTGGATTGTTGGTAGCCCGCCTCGTCTTCGTGTCAACTCCCATGACCGTATTCTTGCTCTTGCTATGATTTGTGAATCAATCTCAGGCGAGATTCATGTTGTGAAGATTGATCAACCACTTGATCATACTGTTTGGTTAGGTCATCCACCACCTTTGATGAGACTTGCAATTGTGGATTTGGCTTTGCCTAGGAAAACAGAAGATGGATCTAATATAATGTTGTTTAGTGATCCTCTTGTGCCTGAAAGGATCTATTCAGTTCATTATGGCGGGATAGATTCGATAGTATTGCATTTTCTTCCATTTACAAATCAGTCCAGTGGCAAGGATGAGACTATCAGAACTCCCTCAGTGCATCCTATACTTAGCACATGCCAGGCGGATGACTCCTCACCTTTGTGTGGTTTTGCAGCACTATCAGACGCATTTGGTTACTCATGGATTGTAGGAGTCACTTCTATGCAAGAATGTGTTGTGCTAGAGATGAAAACTTGGAATTTATTGCTTCCTATGCTTGTTGATCTGAAGAAGAAATCTCCAGGCTTTGAAGAACGGAAAGAGGGAAATATGCCAGATATCATAAGCAAAGAACTCCTTAGTGGTCCTAAGGTGGTTCTTGTTCCTCAGACCTCACCCAATCTTCGGTCTGTTTCTGCTGATTCTATTGAAGGCCGATCAACTCTACATCAGTATTTCAAGCTTTTCCATGAAAATTATGTTGAATATGCTCATAAGGTGAGAATGCTTCATCCTGTATGCATTTTAATATCAACTCACTTATTTAGGTCATATCTCTTTGGAACAAACCTGTGTTTTCTATTTGCCACCTCTGATGGTTCTAGCTTGTGGAAGAGAAGATATTTTCAAAAACAATCATGGACCGGTAGGAGGCAACATTATAACTGACGTTATGAAAAACCAATAGTTAATTCTAAGCAGCTAAACGGAACTGTTATGAGTTGACTGTAGGTTTGTGTTTTTGCTTTGGAGGAAAGTACATGGTTACTACAGGGGCTAATGGATATCCAATGATATTTTTCTCATCTTATTCCTATGCTTATGTGCATTATAAATTGTGATCCCTATTACATCTCTGTTATTTGAAACATTGGCAAGTAACCTCGACTCTTAAGTTAGATTGCGTTTTGAATATTTGGCAATCTTTAAGTAATTGATATTGAAATACAGTAGCAGGATTAATTGGACTTCTAATAAGTTAAATAAGGCAATCTTTAAGTAATTGATATTGAAATACAGTAGCAGGATTAATTGGACTTCTAATAAGTTAAATAAGGCAATCTTTAAGTAATTGATATTGAAATACAGTAGCAGGATTAATTGGACTTCTAATAAGTTAAATAAGGCAATCTTTAAGTAATTGATATTGAAATACAGTAGCAGGATTAATTGGACTTCTAATAAGTTAAATAAGGCAATCTTTAAGTAATTGATATTGAAATACAGTAGCAGGATTAATTGGACTTCTAATAAGTTAAATAAGGCAATCTTTAAGTAATTGATATTGAAATACAGTAGCAGGATTAATTGGACTTCTAATAAGTTAAATAAGGCAATCTTTAAGTAATTGATATTGAAATACAGTAGCAGGATTAATTGGACTTCTAATAAGTTAAATAAGGCAATCTTTAAGTAATTGATATTGAAATACAGTAGCAGGATTAATTGGACTTCTAATAAGTTAAATAATGAATGAGGCAGAAGAGAAGCTGTTGAAAGTGGAGGAGAAACAGTCAGGATTGAAAGACAGGGTTGATCATGCAATCCATGCCCACAATCTTCTGGAACAGCGTTTGCAACATTTGAGGAATTTGCCTGGTGCTCATAAGAAACCTTTGTCAAAAGCAGAGCGTGAATTTAAATCTGAGCTTGGTAATAAATTTTATGCGTGTTACAGTTACTTGCATGCAACCTATATTTGCTATAACTATCCAAAGAAAAAAAAGGCAATTTCATTCTGGGTATTTCAATTACTTTTTCTGTAGATAGAGCCCTTTCATTTACCTTTCTGCATTCACCAATATACTAACTTGTTGATTTCATGATGGTCTTAAAAATTGCAACACGGGTGGTTTCTACTTGAAATAATTTTGACTGTTCGGTTCTTATGCAGACAACTTTACAGGAGTTGAGTTGGATGCTTTGCGAACTTCAATTGACACTTTAAAAGCAAGGTTGAGAAGGCACACTCAATCAGGAAAAGATAATGTATTGAAACAACAAAGGCAAATATCTGGAAAGAACTATGTTCAAGATATCCAAATGTCCCAGTTGAAATCTGCACTTGCGAAACTCTCACTTGTCAACAGTGAAAACTCAAAAAAAGTTAAGCTTGTTGAATCTGCATTGAAAAGTCAGGAAAGCAGCAGAGGATAAAATATTAAATGTATCTTTTTGGTGGTTCTTTTGTCTAATATACTGGAGTCCCATATTGGTCCTTGGAACAAGTCCCTTTCCATTGGATGCCTTACATTTCAATTTTAAACTGACTTGTAAATATTGGATCGACAGTGGGTAAATTATCACATTGCTTTTGGATGCATTGATGCAAGGTTCCAAAGTTGGCACCATGTCTTTTGCTATGCTTAGCATTGGAGATGCTTTGATCAGGAGCTCTTTTTCTCGCAGAAAAGTATATACAGGTCGGTTCCTTTTTGGTCTTGTACCAAATCCAATTCTTATGTTCGCATCACTGGTTATGATGTATTATTCAGAGTTTTTGGCCATTATTTTGGTCTCGATGATAGTAATTATGTTTCCAAGTTGGGTGGTTCTTTTCTGTTTTTTCCCCTTCTTTTTAAGAAAAATGGGGATTGAATGAGGGGTGGTAGGAATGTGTAAAGTTTGTGCTAATGTCGATGTCTTTGTCCTTGTTTTGAAAATTATGTATTCTGGAAATACTAACGTCCAATGATGGTTCATTCCTCTGTGCATTCTTTACTTTGACATTGGGTGCATTTTGTTTTAAGATTGACAACCGTAAAGAAAAAAATGGGTGGTGTTTCATTCGAGTAACTTACATAATGTTCAATTATGTCGTACCAAACTACACCTAAATACAGGTGATAGTTTTAAATTCTTGTACGCCAAGTACATATGAACTTTCTGATGATATGACACTGCTGGTTTCTTCCACCAGGGAAAGAGCATATTGATGTGCCATGTCCTGCTTTGTTCCCTCACCTGCACTCGGTGAATTTCTGGGTTCTTACCTAAAAAGATTTAGTCTCTGTTAAGACTTCACAAAACCGTGGGGACTTCGAACATGGGTTCTTGGTTATCTTTTGATATCTGAAACTGTTCATGTTTTTGGCTTCAAATATTCGCTTGGTTCATCCGCTTGCCCCATCTAATAATTTATGTGCTTATTAGTTTATTTGGAGCCTTCAAAACGGAAGAAACAATTGAGCTTCAAGTTACGAGTTCAATTGTCAGAAAAGTAACCATCTGACTTGAGGGACTCGAGGAAAATTTGCTTCTACTAGAAAAAGCTTTTTAGCCCTGTCTTATGGTCCGACAGGGTCCAAGGCAGGCAAGTTCAGCTACAAATTTCAAAAGCTTAGTCCATATTATTTTATTCTACGTTCAATTCCATGTGCAGGTGCAGTCCATGTTCTTGCAGTCAAAAGTTCCTTAACTTGCAGATTTTCGTATTGACCTTGCAAGTAATTTACTCAAGTGTGAGACCAGATCTGGAGCTAAATTATGGACTTGAAGGTATGATACTTGCACATACCATTACAGCATATATTAAAGTTTAAAGGTATTTGCTTAGGTTTATTTGTGTTGAACAAGCTCTCTTGATAAGCAATTTGAGGTCCCCCCAATTCCTTTTTAGAGATGAATAGCTAATAGCAAAACAATTATTTTTTTAAAATAATACTAATAATAACTATTTCCTCTTTTCTCTATTTGCCTGATGAGAATAGAAATGATTGCTGCACGCTTCCAACTTGGAGGCAAAATGATGCCCAATGCCCCTCACTACCTCTACTAATCATTGATTCCATGACTTAAACATATGTTAATTAGATAATTTACATATGCTTACTCTATTACTTAAGTTTTATTGCATCCAACATTATGGGTCTCCAGTCTCCTACATTCTTCTCATCTCTCTTCCTCTTGATCTAACTCTTTAAATGGTTTCGTCGTTGCACATTGATCGGATACCGCTTTTGTGTCCGAGTAGTTGGAAAGAAAACCAACTTATCTTTCTCTGCAGGAGTCCAACTGCCAGTGGAAGACAGTTAACCAATAAATTCAGTTTCAGGAAATGTATAAATATAAGAGTTATAGGGTTATGAGTTTGAACCCCTAGTCGGAGTTTATTACCCAGAATAAGAACAAAATATATGAAGAGTTGGCAACGCTTTTAATACCTGAATCGAGTGACTAGGTGGTGAAGGAAAACGGAGAGTTCTACCCTAGCAAGCTCATAGCCTGGGCATAGCCTTGGCCCTCCTCCGAATGGAGTGAATACGTTCCCTGGACTTGTTGCTCCTGAGTTGCTCTATTCATTTCAAATATTCATTAGTCATGAGTAGAAGTACTAAATATGCAAAAATTAGAATCACATATACATTGCATCCGAAGAGAGATTAACCTGCCATCTCCATGGATTGAACGTTCGAGCGTCTTTGAAATATTCATGGTCTAAATGTACACCTCGAAACGAAGCTAAAACTTTCCATCCTTTAGGGATTGTATAACCTGAATTAGTTTTAGACAATAGCAGTCTTAGTAGATAGAAAAATTTTAGATGTCCAGCATTTTCTCAACATAACATGTGAGTGATTCTGTTAATTATATAATTAGATATGAAACCACTACTAAGAATTTTCTTACCCTTTATTTGAACATCTGTCATTACTCGTCTAAATACCCCACCAATTATGTTTGCTATTCTCAAAGTCTCATTAACAACCTGAAAGAAAGCAAAATAAATGAGATGAAAGTATTTTAAATAAGAGATAAAGAAAGCTACATCAACATCGAGCTTTTATAACACTCCATTAATGGTTCACAATAGTTTAATTATTTATCCATTTAAAAGTGTACTTACACATTGAGTGAAAGGCATTGACTTATAATCATTCCACTCGAGAGCTTCTTCCCCTTCACTTTTCTTTGCCCTAATCCCTTCATGCTCCTCCTGTTACAGATGATGAAATATAATATTACTAATCCAGAAAAAAGAAACAAATGATTCTAATCACAATGTTATGCTAAGGGCACTGGCTATGGTTACTGTCCTATACGGGCTGGCCATGTCTGAGGGCTCTCAGATAGGTCCCATGTCTATGGAGAATTGGGATAGTAACCTTAATAATCATATAAATATAATTGCCACCCACCTTAAGTGGGCGCAAAATATTGATGGGTTCGTACTCAATTTACCTAAAAATATTTGCATAGCACGATTACTTTTAAACAAGAATAATTACTTTAAGATCTGATTCGTCAAGTCTCGCATGTGAAACTCATTGATTTTTAATAAGTAAAGATTACGTTTTGTTACTCTGTAAATTGTAATAGAATATAATGTAATAAAAATATAATAAATTGTATCAAAATATAATGTAATCAAATAAATCTTAATTCAATCGAAATCTAATTAACTAAAGAAAATTAGTAATTTGAATTACAATAATGAGATGGATTAAGGGGTGATTTTCTTAGTAATAGAAGAATATTTTGATGCTGGCCCAAGGGAGATAGGAGTATAATAGGTACATCTGATCCAAACTCAAAAGTTGAAATGTTTTTAAGCCCAATTTAATACTCTATCCACAAAAGGTTGGAGTAGAATGGTCCTTCAATAAGGAACATGTGCCTGTCCTATAAACCATATGGCATTGTTGTATCCGCATGATCCCTTTATAGACCTAAACAGACCCCACACTTGCACTGATTCTGAAGACAATCCAACGGTGAAAAATTATCCATCACATGCACCTATAGTAATTAATACTCAAAACCTAAATACAACTAGGAGAACGAAAGAAGACGGTGATGACATCAGTATTCAATCACAGCCGTTGGATAGTTCCTCCCTAGAAATCAGCACCACACGTTTCCCAAAGAGACAATGTTCCTAGTTGCCACAGGTATTATTAAACCCATTTTGATGAAGGGTGTATAGGTAATTTAACGAGAAGACAAAATGGTCAAAAAGATGAAGAGTGATCAGATCAGTCAGAGAAGAAGTCAGGCTGATATTTTTTGATGAGGGTGAAGCATAATAAGGCGTGCAGTTTGGGAGAGAGGTATCATTTTGTCCGGTTAGACGAATGTTTGGTTCTACTTTGACTTCTAAGCTATCTATCTACTTTTGACCAACATTATTATTTGTACACGACTAACCACAAAATACAAGGAAAAAACTTAAGCAAAGGGTAATTAAAACATGTTCCTATGAAGAAAACTTTGGATCTAAACAGTAAAAATAGTAACACTTACTAAAGAGATCACAAGTAGGAAAAATGGAAAAAATGGGTCATTCGAGAGAGATTATCAGGTAAATTCAGTCTCTCACGTCAGTTACAGATTCACCCAATAAAATAATTCTTTGAGGGTTTTTATTGATTAGAAATAGAAAATTTAATTGTGTTGATTTAAGAGTTATCGGTGTGGAATGAGAAAAAAATAAGCTGTTTATGTAATTTATTTTCATTGGATGCTGATTCTATCTAAAAATTTCTCGTCTTGGTCTTGGGAATTATCTTTTTCTTCAATTGTCATCCTGGGAATTATCTTTTTCTTCAATTGTCATCCACAAAATGACATCGTATCTTTAGTTGAGATAGTTAGCAAATAAGACGAGAATACAAGTTCGATCACGGAAAAAAAAACGCGTTGTATAATAAAAAAAAAAAAAAAAAAAAAAATGGAAATGGCTGATTCTATCCTAAAAATTTCTCGTCTTGGTCTTGGGAAATTATCTTTTTCTTCAATTGTCATCCTGGAATTATAATTCTTCTTTCTTCAATTGTCCAATCCCACAAAATTGACATCGTAAATCTTTAGTTTGACGGAAATTAGTTAGCAAATAAGACGAGAAATAAAGTTTCGATCACCGGAAAAAAAAACGGCGTTTGTATAGATAAAAAAAAAAAAAAAAAAAAAAAGAAAGACTAGGATATGAATGCATAAAAAAAAAAAAAAAAAAAAAGAAGATAGGATATGATGCATTTACAGTAACCCACGGGCGTGTGGCACTAGCTAGGGCAGTTTTGGGTGCTAGATATATTATATGGTTTGAAACACACATCATGTGCAAAACAAAGAAACTAAGGCATTTCATCTCTCATTGTTCTCTCTTTATCCTACCACCCAATGTGAATGGTGGAGGCTTCTATAATTAGAAGAAAGTGGGTCCACTAGGGAATTTCTAAAAAGTGAAAACTATTTATTATTTCTAATATTGTAAATTCATAAATAAAATAAATTTAGATGTATAGAACATGGCCATATTGTACACACCTTGAGTTGAGCCAAAGCAAGAGGAGTCTCGGTGAGGAACTTAACGGCAAGAGTCATTATAGTAGAGGTAGTTTCATAGCCGGCAACAAGAAGAGCCACCAAGAAATCTACTATTTCCTCATCGGAAAACCCACCGTCACCGGCTGATAGAAGAGCTTCTAACATGTCGTTCTTTTTTTCTCCTGCTTCACTTTCCCTTCTTCTTTCCCTCACTATCAAGCTCAATGCCTCTGCCACCTTAGTCCTAGCCTGCAATTTTTGAAAATTAAAAAAAAAAAAAGATAAAGAAAGAAAGTGTCATTTTTCATGTGCATAATTATTATGTCACTCTTTTCTATTTCTCTTTCTTGATTTTCTAGGCAGGCAAACAAACAAACAAAAAAGAAAATTAAAGTTGATGTATTTTACTTGGATTGCTCTTCTGTATGTGGTGGAGAAGATGGGCAGAGGAACAGTGAAAAAACCTTCAATAACAAGAACGTATTCTTTCCTTAAACTTTCAGTCCTTTCACCTGGATCAAGACTCATTAGCTGTTTTATGGCCAACTCGAATGTTATCTGCAATAATCCAATTATTAAATATAAAATATATGTATAATTAGTGATAATAAATTAAATAGAACCTTCTAAATACAATAAAACAAAAAAAATATATAAACCAAAAAAAATTAAATAAAAAAAATAAAGATACCATATACTAATAAGATTCGTGACACTAATTAGAGAATATCATTTTACTATAATTATTATTATATATAGGAGTAATTAAAAAAAACTTTACCTAGCCAACATGCAAATTAATAAACATGTGTGTCACCCACTACTCTTTCAAATCTGACTCATCATATAAAACCATAATAACACCAACTAAACAAATATGATTTTTTTGAGAAAAAATAAATTTTTTTTTTAATTCGATATCTAAAATTCACTGATCCGATCCCATTAATTCAGATTTGTATTACATTTTATTTGTACTACCACTCGAAAAGCTCAATAGCTACGCAAACCTAAATATTTCAAAAAAATCACATTGGTGGCATATTGGTATAACCAACATCATAAAAAGTACAAGTATATATATGTTTATGTATACCTTCTTGGCCTCCTCCATGAGGAAAACCCGGTCGGTCCAAGAATCCAAGTTGAGCCGGACCAAGCGGTCTATATCAGCCAAAAGATGGTCTCTTATAATAGAAGAGTTACCAAAACTCATAGTTAGAGAATGCATTCTTTTATGAAGAGCACCTCTCATCAACAACAAAGAATGCTTTCCTAACAAGTTGGAGATCGAACTCGGGTAGCTTGACTCAAACAACTTCCCTTCATTTTGCAGAATAAACCGATTCGTTTCCGGGTCGACCGAGAAAACCGTCGGTTCACCAAAAACGTGAGTACTAAACAAGGAACCGAACTTTTTTACCCTCTCGTCGATGAAGGGTTCAGGGTTCTCAGTCTTGTATGCAGATATAAGCTGTAGAGTTTCTCCAAGAAAAGGCAAGCCCATGTTCCCCGGCGGCAACCGGAGCCTCCGGTTCCGGGAAGTCCGGTGAATAACAAATATGAAAGCAGAAAGAGAAACCAACATAGGAAAATAAAAGAGAAAATCCATTGGAGAGTAAGAAACAAGTGGTGGGAATTAAGCCAAGTATAGATATAACATTTAGAGGTAAAAGGGTGTATATATATACAGAGAGAGAGTGGTGGGGGTTACAGTTTCAGAGGGACATTAAGGGAGGGAAGAGAGAACACACGAGGGGTATCTGATAAAGAATCTTTGGGGGAAGAGAGTTGTGTAAGAGAGAAAAATTAATGTCGGATATTTTCAATATCCTGACATCTCCCTTTCTTTCTTTCTTTCTCTCTCTTTATAATCTCTGTCTTCTCAAGAGAAGGAAAAAAAAAAAAAAAAAAAATTATTTTAATTTTTAATTATTTGTTTCTTTATATATATATATACTACAGTAACTATTGAAGATAAGACTTGGATAGGAAAAAATTTAAAAGGTTTCTTTGTGATCTTTCTTTTCTTTTCTTATAGTCTCATGGATTAAATGAAGGAAAAGTTTTCTTTTTTTCTTTTGATATCTCATCATTATTAAAATTTTCTATTTATTCTTTGTTTTCTGTTGGTAGAGATATTAAGAGATAAAAATAAAATCGAAATAAAATAATTAATATTATCTTACACTCTTTAAAGTGTCATATAAATAAAAAGAAATGTAAATTCTATTTTAAAAAAATTATTTCGATATACAAATTGGGAGTTTTACCTCGGTTATTATTCATGGAAATCTTCAATGGCTAATTGAAAAATTTCCTTAACAGGTTATTTATCTATTGAATTTTTTATTTCATTATTTCATAATTTTTTTTTTCTATTTTTATGAATATTTTTAGAGTTTTAAAACATAAATTGTGCATAATATTATAATTATAAAAAATTATAATTGTGCATAATATGATAATTGTGCATAACATTCTAATATTATAATTATAAAAAAATAATAAAAAAAATTATATATATAAATCAAATTATAATATTATGAATGAGACTTGGCGCACATTTACTATTTAGTAAAAAATTTATTACTCTTTATTACTATTTTTTTTTCATTTTTTAAAGTAAAAAAAGTCACGATACCCTTGTTTATGTATTTCAAAAAATGATGTTAAATACCGATCAAGTGTGGTATGGTTGGTCTTCTCACATTTTATAGAAGATATTCGGAAAAAGAGGCACTGAGTTATCACAAATTTAATAAATATTATTTAAAAGTGAAAAATATCCCGCTATATAGCTCACAGTTAATCTAACTTCGTAAGTATAAAAAAAATGATGTTAAAGTTCTTAATTTAAGCTGGATCAAATGGGAATATCTTTGAAAATAGATAAACTTTTATTTTAAAAAGAGATATAATGGCAATATTATTACTTTTAATCAACTAATGGTGTTTAAGAATTCATTGCATTATTGATTTTCAACCCATTCTACTTTTTCTCTTTCTTTTATAGTCATTTCTTGATCTTGGCCGTTCATCTTTTTAAATTGTGATCCCTCCTACTCTTCCATTTGCAATTCAAATTAATAGTAGCCATTAGATTTGAATATGTGAATATATATAATATATACATAATACATTATATCAATATGATATATAAGTATATATGCTTAAAGGGTACGTAGCAATAATCAAGTATGCATGGTTATAAGCATATTTTTTAAAAATAATATTTAATAAAATTTTAATTTACATTAGTAATTAAGTAGAATGAAAAGAAAAGCAAAAACAATTGTAAGTTAATAATAAATAATAATAATAATAATAATTTTGAAAAAAAATTAACCAAAAATTAACAATTTTTGCTAATTAGATGGTGGTCTGGTTGGTCTTCTCACTTATATGAAAAGTGGAAGGTATTGAGTTTGAGTCCTCTCGACCACAGTTGTTTTCACAAATATGATGAATTAAGGGGAGGGCTACCCTCTGTTGTGTAGCTCGCAGTATTATTTCGGCTCATAAAGGCCTCAAATAAATTTAAAAAATTAATTATTTTTTTTCCAAAAAAAAATGAACTTGATATATTTTGCTTTACTCTTGTGATAAAATTAGATTTATTTATTTTTATAAAATTAAATCTATTCTTTTGTTGGTATTTTAAAAATATATTTCTTGCATTGACTTGATATATTTCTAGACCTTTTATAGTAATATCGAATCCAATGAAAAAATAAATTACTTTCTTCTTACCTACTCAATATATCCTAGATTTCTTTCAATAATATTAATTTCAATAAAAATAGAAAAGTTTCATCATATACTAAATTAGAATATATTTTAAATTTCTTGCAATAAATTCGAAACCTAAAAAAAGAAAAAAAAAATTTGAAAGAAAGCATCCAATCTTGCCAAATATATTTTTTAGATTTTTCTATGAACACTGAATCGGATGAAAAAAGAAATTTTGTTATATTTCATTAGATGAAAAAAAAAGGATTATAACAATTTTATACTTTATTAAATATATAATTTTCTTTATACTATATATTGAGGATTTCTTATTTTCTTTTAATAGTTGTTTGTTTATTTCATTTTTTAGCAATTAATAGAATTGAGATTGATTAAAATAGGAAACAAAATACAACTAATCAAATTGAGTTATCTTTCTTTTTTCAAGTAATAAAATTAAAAATTTTAAATATAAATAATTATTTTGTCCTTCTACTCATGAAAGTCCTTTAATATCTTTCGGGTAAAAAAATTTAAAAATTTATTTAATTGATTACCAAGAATTAGATAAATGTCTTTCTCAATTACCATGTCCATTTTTTTACTTTTAAGTATTAAAAAATATATGAATAAGTTATTTTCCTAAGAAAGTTTAATCATTTGTTCTTCAAGGTGGTGTTGTGATTAATATTAATTGAAATTAGGATCGACTTGCCTAGACCCAATTCATGAACAAATAAAAAAAAAAGTTTTTTTAATTGAAATAAGGATATTTTTTATTTTATATTAGAAAAAACTATAAAATAAGAATAATTTTAAAATATTCTTATTTTCATTGATTTGATATACGAGTAAAATTATAGATCGAATCTAGATAAATCTAATCCTTTTGTTTCATTTTCTTTCAATTAGTTACATTCTTTTTTTCTCTAAAACATGAGGTCTGATCTAGATAAATCTAACCGGTTTTATTTCATTTCTTTTCAATTAGCTAAAATTCTTTTTTCTATGAAATGATAATGCTAATCTCATAGTAACATGTGTCATGTAAGTATAAGTGATACATTATACAAATCAAAACCATTTGGACCATAGTTGGGGTTTTGAGATAGTTAAAAATTAGGACAATAGTAACAAAGGGGAGGTGCATATATATTTTGTGTTAATTTAAGGTTTTAAAGTAGATAGAATGTCATTATGTCTCCCCCATTTGTCCCACTCAAATTCCATTTGTATTACAATCTACACATTCAAGAAAAAAAAAAAAAAGTGGGAAAAACTTATTTTTTATTTATAATTATTATTATTTTTTTGTTCAATGAGGGTCACACCTTCTTTAAAAAAAATACTAAAAATCCCTCCTTTCCATTGTCATTATTGACTTAAACATTATGATTAGCAATAGAAAACTAAGTTCATCCACCTCTTCTAGCCCACATAGGTGTGTGAGCTCCCACAAATGAAACTTCTAAAAGATAATGCAAAGCAAGCTTATCAACCGGCCACGTGGCATAAAATGATGGAGGGTATGATGCAATTATAGGGTTTGATCTTTTGATTTTTCTTTTTTAATTGTTTTTTATATACTATGAGGTTATGATCCCATGTTCATCCACATGGTCCCCATAAGGGACATTAAGCCCTCCACCAACTAGACAACCCATAAAATAATTATCCCTATACAAGTATCCTTTTTATTTATTAGGGCAACGAAGCTTTTGATGGGAGAATCATATCATGTGATTGTGCCCTTCGTTTCTCTCTCATTAAACTTTATTTCACCTAATTCCCTTAACAAAACATTCTTAATTTTCACAATTCCCATTATTGATTTTTTTTTTTAAAAGAAAAATCACAAATCACGAACATTCTCTCTAATCAAATCTTAATTTATGTCTTATGTATATAAATTAATGTAAGAAATTTGTCATCATCATCCATTAACACAAAAAAGACTAATTTAGGTGTATATATATATACATATATTAGGAGTTATCTAGGTAGGTTAGATGTTTTGAGACATATTATTACCCTAATTTCCGGGATTTCTACACAATTTGGCTTCTTATTAAAGCTTTTAATTATGCAATTTGGTTAAAATCTTCTACTCTCAAATGCTTGAGGTCATCAAGCCTTTGGTTAATTGATTTTTTCCCTATGAATATGATATTGAAAATGTGTCTATACCAAGAAGATCATAATTCTTAATAGATATGGCTATTTTCATATTGACAATGAAATCGTTAAGAATCGAATCGATCGAACATTATTTGGTTGATTTAAAATAAGTAACGTTTGGTCAAAGATTCACTCTATTATGTGATTAAGTTTCGAAGTTCTCGCTCGGACATTTAGTTCACAATCTCTTTCCTAGAATAATAAAAAATAATAAAAATTTGTATTCGGTCTCAGTAGAAGGCTCATTATTGTTTATCGAATTCTCTCAATTTTATTCAACTTTCTCTACTTTCACACATGAAAAAGAAATCTTTTATTATGATAAAAACAGAAATGATGTAAATTATTCAAGAATCCAAGTTAAATTACTTTACAAAAAGACGATATCATTAGGGAAATAAGGCCTTCCCTCTCTTTTCTGCTATCTCCTTCCTCCAACACTTTCACATTTCACACTAATTACATATGATTTGAATCTAAATTTCAAATATTGAAATTCTCAAAACAGAAAAGAAAAAAAAAAAAAAGAATCATTTCACCTATCTTTTCCATTAAAATGAAGACTTTTCATATTTGACATTTCAGTCTTAATCTTTATATATATATATTTAAAGCTTATCATAAAGGGTGATTATTAATTTGTAATTGAATTTGAAAAGGCAGACCAATTTCCATGAAACCCAATAATAAAAAACTTTAGAATAAATAATGTCCCACAGCATCTTTGAGCCACATTCTCCTCTTCCATATATATAAAAGCTTGATCACAAAATTTAATTCCTTAGCAAAAATTGCTGCACTATATATTTATACAAACCATATAAAATATGTGAGGGAGGCCAAACCAATAATTTAATTTCTATATATTATTGTTGACCCACCAATATATTGCGAATCAAATTTGTACAGTCCGTGCATGCCCTATGATTTATCTCC